ATATAGCTGCATCGATGTCGTTTTTCCAATTTGCCAAAACCCGCATGTAATTGAAAGCACCCAACAAGATGTAATAATTAACTTTTTTATGCTTAATTTTTGTGTGTTATCGTGAATTTGTATGCTAAAATGTCTATTCCCTATTTATATTTTCGCGACTGTAGATGAGTCCGCCGAAAATTCGCATTTCGTTTAGTTTCTAGATGTTAAGCAATCTATGTATGAGTTTTTAATGAAATATCTTTAAATAAAGGGTTATAAAAATGTTTATAAAAAGCTTTCTTTTGAAAATTTTTAGTAAGTTTATATTCATACGCTTATAAACAATTTTTTTTGAACCTTTATTATAAGTTTAGACTTTTACGGTTATAAAAAGCTTTCTTTTGAACATTTATTACAAGTTTATATTTCTACGCTTATAACCAATGTTCCTTTGCGATTATATTACGCTTACTTTCAAGCGTTTTATAAACAAAAAATCAACGTTTTGTAAGCTTAAGGTTTGTAATTGAAAACTCAAAAAAAAACTTTCTTTAAGTTTATTTTTCTTGTTGGGTAATAATTAGAAGAAATGAAGAATAACTTACAGTATTATTCATTTTACATTTTCCATATGTGAAAGATCTGTTGGCAGACAGTTTAACTCACATACTTATGAACAGGGAACGGATTTTATGGAAATTGCCTTTTTTCTGCTAAAGAGATAGAGTACATTCGATTAAGAATGTCCACGACTTAGCTTTCACTGCTTCCATATATACACATTTGATGTTGCTTTTTTCCCTTTTTTAAGATATTTGCCTTTTCTTCCTTAAGGGCCAGTATGCAGCTCTCAGCAAAAAAGCAAAAAGGCCATATAAAATAACGTACAAGAAATGGCTAAGAAATTTTTTTTTGTGTCAAACTTCCTTAAGGCAGTACGCCGTCCTTAAGAAGTTTGCTACGCCTTCTAATACGGTTTTCTAAAGTTTTTTTTTGCGAAAAAAGATCACAAGGCAACCCATGTTTGCAACAGGAATATTTGCCCATACCCTTATTTCTTGAGGAAAGAGTGAGGCAACAGGATGTGAAGTATCAGATGTCAACACATCACACACGAAATAATGGCAATTTTTTTCTTCTCCGTTTTCTTGAGAGCTGCATACTGGCCTTTAGTTGTAAAGGGCAAGGAAAAGGCACTTATTGCTGATAATATGAAGGTTTTAAACATTCCATATTTAAATTGGGCGCCACTTGTATCAACTCACGTCGAGCGTACGTTTGGTATATTCAAGGCTTTTCTTCGCGATAATCGAATGAAAATGCTCCCAGAAAACTTCAAAATGCATCTGTTGGTTCAATATTACTACAACTATAGAGATTAAAGTTTTGAGATAAAAACTCGAAAGGAGAAAATAGTCAAAGATTCAAAGTAGAAATTTTTCATATAATGAAAATAGCTCACATTTTTTATACCCGAGCGCACTTGTGCACAAGGGTATTATAACTTTGTTCACATAACGGTTGTTTGTAACAGGCAAAACGAATCGAGATAGATATAGACAAATGTATACATAAATGATCAGAATGAAAAGAGAAATCGATTAAGCGGCGACTGTCTGTCCGTCCGTCCGTCCGTCTGTGCACACGATAACTCGAGCAAAAATTGAGCTATCTTAACGAAACTTTGTATGTGCACTTCTCTCTGGCGTAGGACGGATGGTATTGAAAATGGGCAAAACCGGACAATAACCACGCCTACCTCCCATATAACGGTAATTTTCAGAAATACGAAAACTGCGATATTTTAGTAACTACTGAAGATTATTCAATAAAAATTGATATTTACAATAATTTTTTGACGAAAAATAAGACTATTATAAATTTTTGGAAAATGGGCGTAGCCACGCCCACTTATGCTTACATGTGTATATCTTGGTAACCGCTGCACCAATTTCTTCCAAACTTGGCACAGTTGTTAGCCTTGCTACAGCATACCAAACGGCCGAAGATTTTTAAAATCGAACAATAACCACGCCCACATCCCATATAACGGTAATTTGGAAAAATACGAAATCTTCGATAAATCAATAAATATTAAAGCTAATTTATTAAAAACTGATGCTTGCAACAATTCTTTACCAAGAAATACGTTTATAGTAAAATTTTGGAAAATGGGCGTGGCACCGCCCACTTATGATCACATACATATATGTATCTCGGTAACCGTTCTACCAATTTGTACCAAACTCGGTATAGTTATTGTGTTTGCCA